AAAAATAAAAACAAAATGAACGAATTTGTGAACTAAATATATATATTTTATATTATTATTATTATTATTTATTTGATAATCTTTCTAGCGATGATATAAGAAGATCTCCGTTTTATACGAAAATGAAAAATAAGAAAAAGCACACAAACACACACACACACACACACACATATATACATATAGAAACACACACGCAGTTAAGATAGATCAATCGAAACGAAAAAACGAATCTAGTTGCATACACGAGTATAATTCTAACGTAACTTTATTGCATCGTGGGGGGATGATATTAAGTATGAGAAAAAAAGAAAGAAAGAGAGAGAGAGAGAGAGAGAGAGAAATATAAAGAGAGTGAAAGTGAAATATATAGAGCTAAGAAGAAAAAAAATATTAACTGCAGGCTAATATTTTCCGAAAAACCCCCATCAACCCCACTCGACAACCCCCTTCTTCTCCCCCTCGATGTTTCACCGTTCGTTGTTATTTTCTGATTTGCAACATCAAACACACATTTGATACTCTCAGATCTTCTGAGATTATTGTAGATTATCTTCAATAAACGTTCATCCCGATGAAGACATTTGTTAATTGTATGCTAAATGAAAACAAAAAAAAAAGAAAAAAAAGAAAGAAACCTAAATAAATCGCCAAAAGAACCCTGTGCAATAAAATTTAAATGAAAAATTACAAAAATACGCGCGACAGAAAACAAAAAAAAAAAAAGATAAAAAAGAAACAAATAAATACAAAATATTGTTGCTAATAAATCTTCGTTTTAAACAATCAATCGTCTCTCTTGTATATTGAAAACATCAAAACTCTATATAAGAAAACAAATCTAATTTTTATCTATTTCTATTTCAACGAGAGAGATATATATTAAAATATATAAATAAAAAAAAAACTAAAATAATGTCTCTCTATATAAGAAGAAAAACAAAAAATAAAAATAAAAAAAGAAGAAAAACAAAATACGTACCGACCGTAATTTTTAGGATAACATAATAGGATTCGTTTTAATGCACTGCATCTGGCCCCAGAGTGAGCTGCATGCTAAACATGACATCTAACATGAGCTCGTCTACGGGAAAACGTTCCAAGTAAGATATTTAATTATATTATTTATAAGAAATAATTTTTTTTTTTTAAAAGTATGCTTTCATTTCATTAAAATTACTTTCTTATTATACTAAATTAATTAATGAATTTTAAACTATTAATTTTTGTCCTCGTTGGAGGTTAGGAGGCACACCGTTCTACATTTTGGTTCTCTATTATTCTATTCTTATTTATTATTATTCTAATCTAATATTATTTTGTTTCATTGTTAAGTTTGAAGATAGCTAGTGGTGCTATAGTATGCGATGAGAGTATCTTGAAAGGAGATATTACTATTGGAACAGGAACCGTAGTACATCCTAGGGCTAGTATTTTGGCAGAAGCTGGACCAATTTTTATCGGAGAAGGAAATATTATTGAAGAGATGGCAACTATAGCTAACAGGCAAGCACAATTTATTTTTTTTTTATTTAAATAACTATTTTATCTACTCTTCTACTTTTATAGATTACCACATCCTGAAAGTGATATGATACCTGTACAAATAATCGGTAACTACAATGTTTTCGAAGTTGATTCTATCTGCGAGTCACATAAAGTTGGGGATAACAATATATTAGAAACTAAAGGTATATGTATATATAATTTCTATTAAATCTCTTGCACTATGATTAAACACGCAAAGCTATATATGATGCTACATTTCTCATATTTGAACTGTAAACCGTATCACGAATCTCATACATTGTTATAGTGCAAGATTTCTTTAGTTATTTTATATAATGTTAATTATTTTCTATTTTATACAGCTTACATTTCTCAAGATGTCGAATTAACTAATGGATGCGTAATAGGAACAGCTTGTTCCTTGGTAGAACCAGAAACTATTTTAGAGAATACTGTAATATATGGCAGCAGATGTCAACGAAGAGAAATGAACGATAAACCATTTGTAAGAATTACTATTTAATCTAAAAACTATAACTTTAACCCTTTGCGGTCATACTTTATTTCTATGTTGAATTTGGTTATCTGGATTCTTATAGAACAAACACTGAGAAATATATTTATGAATTATTTTTTAACTTTATGTATTCGCAATGATGCAAGGTTTAATTTTATTTAAAAACTATATTTTATAATGCTACATCCTACGATATCTTTCAAAACATTTTTTGATATAGAAGTGCTGGTTTTCAAGTAGAAATTAGAAATATGACCGGAAAGAGTTAACATTCCTATACTTTAATCTAAATAAATTATACTACTGCGCTTTTATTTTAGCCACAAGTAGGACAACTGGATTATCTTAGGAGGATACTACCGAGTTATCATCACTTACGGAAACCTAATGTCAAATCAATGAAAAATGAACCGATAGTATAATCCCATCATCATTACTGACAAAACGATACAAGAATATCTAATCTAAATGATGAAATTATTTATAAATACAATTAAATTTAAATATTTAAATGCTTATATGTGTATTATAGTAATTAAAATAGTGATAAATAAGCTAACTTATATAAGTTATTGAACATTTATTTACAATAATAATAATATTAATATTAATAATATATTAATGCTGCACTTTTATAAATAAAATTATGTGAATCTTATGTCCTTTTTAATATTTCATGACTCAAAAATTCTCATTAAAATTTGATTATACCATAAAAGCCTTTATTATTTATTTAATATTTCTTCTTCCTCCTCTTTTTATCAGGACTTTGTCCTGTTATAATAGCTTTTTTTTTATTGCTATTTCTAGGAGCGATTTATTGTATATAATACATTCTCTCTCTCTGTGATAGTATAAATAATNGTATATAATACATTCTCTCTCTCTGTGATAGTATAAATAATATAGTTCTATTATAATAAAATTTTAAATAAATATATTAAATTTTTAATGTATAAACATGTGTGTGCCTTCAGAAATGCATTTATAAGTATAATTAAAGATGAAGCAATTTATAAGACAATTAAATAAAAAAGAATCCAGAAGATTAGATGATTAATCCAACGATGAACACCTGTAACAAGAAGAAAACMTTATTAGTCATACAAATCACAAGTGACACACAATAGCCTGACATATAAATCGTCCAATTCGYAGATGCACTTTTCAATTGAATTTTATATTTATTTGGAACAAATCTCTATTTATCGTTGTAATGAAATTAAACTTAAACGCATGATTTTACATTTACATAAAATAAAGAAAAATAAAGCAATAGGAAAAGTAAAAGTACTAAGTTACTAAAAAAAAAAATATCTATTAATTATTGTGAAATACTTTAAAAGTACATTTTATAGAAAAGGAAAATTGCAGATCTAATAGAATACGAACACAATGAAAAATTTGAAAGACGAAACAAGAAAAGAGAAATTATTGTAATATTTACCGAGCGTTATTTAAGCTTGAAAATTGAATAATWGAAAAAATGTAATATTTTTGACTTTAACTAAACACATTTGCATCTTTTAGACGATACGGACACGAATTTGGTGTCCCAAGGAGATGGAATGGTCCATCATCTCCAATTAAAACTACAAATTAATGACGAGCAAGCAAGTGATATAATAAAATATAAAATATGACTAGAGAGGTATTCTCAAAAAGTTCGAACTTGCTGTTGAACCTTTGAAAATACCTCAAAAGTCTATGTAGTTGCCCACTTGATACCACAAATTTGTGGGGGCCTCTTCGGCAATTAGCCTCTTCGGCATTTAGCCTCTTCGGTGTTTAGCCACTTCTTTCTTCATCCCTGAAAACTGCATTGGACAATATCTACGTTCGAGCAAGATAAGATCTCTCGTAGTTTTTTTGCAAATTAACTCGTATTTTTGTTTGATAATTCTA